TCGATCGCAATACAAGCAATCGTCTGATGAATGATGATGATTGCTTGCGTTGCGATCGAAACATCGTGATCTCTTCTTTTTTATACATACGTGACTTTACCGAAAGCACCAAATAGCATGGTGGTTAGGTTTGGGAAGCTGTAAGCCCCAGGCTACTCTGGGCTCGCTTTCCATTAACGGGAGGTGAGGAATGTTGGTGGTAATGGTTGCTTATGATCCCACCTAAGAGAAACATCAGTGGAGGGATGGAGGTAAGTCCAATTTGTCAGATGCCTTCTAGGACCTCCTGTCATAGGTGCTAGCTACAATGGCCCCTTGGGATAGAGTAAACCTGTTCGGTGACTTTCATGCCAGAGTGGATCAATAACTATGGTAGGAGGCTGCTCGACGTCTGTGCAGCCCATGGTCTTGTAATTACCAACACGCTGTTCGACATCGGTGCATCCACACATCATGAATGCATGCCGGATCCAAGCAATACCATCTGCTGGACTATATAGTGATAGAACAGCATATGCGGGACCATGTCCTTGACACCAGGACCTACTGTGGAGCTGATCTGCCCACTGAGCTTCGGCTTGTTATGTGTAAGATGCGCCTGCAATTCTTCCACTTCAGTGGTGAATGTTCATTTTAGTGGCCTGGTCTCAGCTAGCTGATGACAGTTGCAAGTGATAATTGCATCATCACTTGCAGCTGGGGTTAGCATAGTCCCTCCTCCTGATGCCGAGGGCAAATGGGTGAGGTTTAGGACTGTGGCTCATGTAGCTGCAATGGCTGCTTTGGGCACGTGATCCAAACCTCCCCAGATACCCTAGCTGATGGAGGGGGTGTTCCAGCTGCCTGAGAAAAAGTGACACTGGACGAGTTCCGTAAAAATTTAAAGGATGCCCTGGTGGTCCCCCTGTTTAAGAATGGGCACCACATAAAATTATAACAACTACAGGGACATTTCGCTCCTCAGTGTGTCGGGAAAGATCCTGGCAAGGATTATTCAATATTGCCTTGCTAGGAACACTGAAGAGAGACTTGTATATCCCCAATGTGATTTCAGGTCAGGGCGATCTCTGTCCTTCTTGTACAACAGAGGTATAGGGAATTCCAACAGGACCTTCATCTCTGCTTTATTGACCTGGTCAAGGCCTATAATACCATCAATAGGCCAGGGCTCTGGATTGTTCTTCCTGCTTTTGGAGTCCTTGACTATACTCACAATCATTTACAGCCTTCATGATAGTGGGCAGGCCTGGGTAAAGCCTCGTGGCCAGGTGTCACATCCAGTCCCTGTTCACCTTAAGGTGCGACAGGGATATCCTCTGGCACCTACATTATTTAACATATTGTTTGACCACGTAGTTCGTGAAGCCTTCAATAGCTGTACCGGAGGAATCTCCATATGGTACAGATAAAATGGGAGACTGATCGATGCCCGGGTGTTGTCAAGGGATGGCTCCCTATTGGTCAACCATGCTATGTATACTGACTATCTGCTGATTGCTGCACACTCAAAGAAAGAGTTGGAGGTGCTGCTGCTTGACCTGGAGCGTGCTACTAAAGGGTGGGGGGCCTTACCATCAGCCCCTCCAAAACGAAGCACCTGCCTGGGTATTCTGTGTCATCAAACACTCCATGCCCTCAACTCCCTATTGGTGACAGGGTAGTTGTGGAGAGAGTGGAGAGGTTTCCTTACCTGGGCAGGGTGCTTATGACCAGCTCTGGTTAGACAGAAGATGTCTCACTCCGAATCAGTCGAGCGGCATTATTTTTTTCATTGGTTGCGTAACGCTGTGTGGAAGCTACCCGGTCTGTCGCTCCACATGAAGCTGCGGGTCTTCACAGTGAAAGTTATCTCCACCCTTCTCAAAGCATGCGAAACGTGGACCCCCATAATGGAACATCTTCGCTGGTTAGGAACATTCACGCTGGCCTGTCTATGATCCATCAAGGGTTTAACCAGGCTGGATTGTGTAAGAAGCTGACAAATCCTTGAAAGATCTGGACACATTCCCATCGGTGAGCTCCTCTGACAGGTAAAGCTGCATTCGCTGGGTCATGTAGCCTGCATGCCCAGCCACCGCATGGCCAAATAACTTTTGTTCGGCCGAATAGAAAGGGCTAAACGGGCTCGGCACTGTCTATAGAAGATATGGAATGGTGTTGTACAAGAGGATATGGAGCTAAGTGGACTTGCCAATGACTGGTACCAGCAGTGGCAAGATCGGCCTCTTTAGAGGAGGCTCGTGAAAGACGCTACTAAGCAGTCACTCTCCAGCAACAACGGAGAGCAGAGGAGTGACACAACAATAAGTGGAGTGCCGGGTGGCTAAACCCTGGCAAGCTGGCACAGTAAGGAGCACATGGTGGTGCATCTGCTAGTCATCTCGGTCAGTCAACCCATGGCACCTGGGTCTGTGCTGTGACCCCCTGTCAGTGGGCGTTTGATACTTCACATGGCCTTAAAGTGCACATAGCCTGGCACAAGCACCCGTGGTGACTTCACCACCACTTAGTGGCGAATGGCGGTTGTCGTCGTTGTTGTTAGGTAGGAGTCTCAGTGAAGCCCCCTCCCCATTTAAGAATTCACATCAGGGTGTAATTAATTATATCCATCGTCTATATGGATGGTTAATACTCAGTATTTTATGTATGCAACGCAGTGTAGTCCACGCTGCAGACTTCACACGTCGTGTGGAGCTAGAGGCCTCGTGCGACGCTTTTTGTGTACGGGTTTGGAGTTTGAGAATGAAATGGAACCTACCTTGAAGAAGTTTCCACGTCTATCTTTGTGTGCATGACCGACACCCAGGTCCACGAGCTTACTATCTTATAAATAATTACATGTGCAGCGATATGACTGTACATAAGCTCTACAGTTTTTAAGTGCTACACATGGATTTTGCATGCGAATTACTGGCAAACTTTAATTACTTAAGTGATCAACCTCCTTATCAAGTTATAAATTCTGGAGATAAATAAGATAGCTTGGCCAATGGATTGCATTTCCAAGTTTAATAAAACCTCAGATTACTGACAGCCCCTAAGCCAGCTCAGCATTGCTACATGAACCACAGCCAGAGTCAACGACAATCGCAACCACACACTGTGGAGATATATCGACACCTAAAAGCATTCTTTAGCCCTAACTGGCACCTTTTATGATATGAATTGTTTACTTCGCGGGTACTTAAATCAACACCATTAAATATAAATGGGGCAGTGGTGCAGTGGCTATTGCACTGCGTTACGATTCCCAGCAACGGTTAACGTCATCAGCGCTGAGTGATATCTGGACCAGGCCTAGCCCCTCTCCACCCACATTCACCCATACAGTCTGATGTGTGGTGAGGTATGGTTAAACCCAAAAACAACTCGATTATGGTTGATTTTATTCACATCGTTTGTTCTGTGTATGTAAATATGTCCATGATGCACTCACTGATCATAATGCAAATGGAAGCGTAGGCTTTCAGTGTGTCCCACATTCATTTATTTGTCTGTGCACTTTGTACAAGTTCAGTCATGGTTAATCCACTGCTGGATGAACAATCCATTCCAATCCGTTTTAGCTTCGTTGTTGGCCGGCCGGTCAGTTTAGGGAGATGAGTGGCACCATAATTGTATGATTAGGGGCCTGGATGAATGGGGAGGGGGGGGTGTATGAGAGGGGATGGCCTAAAGGAACTCATCAGATTTTACGCTAGGTCAAAGCTGCATCTTGTGAATTGACGTGCGCATGACGCAGCAATCCTGCACTCCGAAGAAAGTTGGATATGTGACTTTGTACTCCGGACGGATTAACTTGGAGGGGGGCCTAGGGTTGTTATTGCTTTGGGGGGCCTCTCTTTGGGTCTTCAATTCCTCCCGCTGACCGTTTTACCACCACCAGCACCACCCCATACCAAATGCTCCACAGTTAGTCACCTTGGTTATTTAAATTCTAGTTGTTTTTTTTACGTGATCGAGAAATTGTAAAGCCAAATCAAATTCAAGACGAAACAAAAACTATGCTTAAATGTCTGCACATAGCTGGTAGTCATACTGATAGGGTCGCTATGGTTTTATAAAAAAAATAGCTATAGGGTTTAATATAATATTGCGTTTCAACCATTGTAAAGCAGTATTTAATCTTGGGGGTCCCTCAAAATCTCAGGCCCCAGGATTTAGCCCCTACGTATCCAGCATTACTCCAGCCCTGGTTGTACTGTATGATAAATACATATAATCTTCCCATGTTAAAATTAAGTCAACTTGCTTGCAACGCCGTCTCTAAAGGTGTTATATATACGGATACAAAAATACGAAAGAAAATATTCCCCCTCCATGTATTGTCGAATGGGGCCTCCCAATGAGAACCAGACATCAATTGTGATACTTTGGACTTGCTACAGTTATTGTTTGTTCATCCAGACCCATTACATCTATCCCATTACATTAACATCATTCATTCCACCCGTTTTGAAATACATCACTTTTGAAACAACAAGGAATGTCCGTTCACCCATCATCTGGATTCCTCCCATTGATCGATAGAAGCCAAAGATCGCTGGGAGCCTATGAGAGGCCACCAAACTGCTTTGCCAAATAATCCCAAAATATGAAGGTGTTATTTTTTGCTTTGGGGGTCTCATGAACAAATACCCAGATCAATTTAAACCCCTGCTTCATGTGACATTTGTTTTGTATTACAGGGCCCTTATTTATGTAGTTGACTTTGTTTACGACACTGTCATCAATAAAAGTCTCATTTCAACCTCTCTGCTAACTCCACAACAGAGGAGGAGAGTTTGCAGTACTCAATGTTCAAAATAACACTATGCTATTCCATGCGTTTCAAAACCACAGTAGTCGTGAGAGTTTATGCCCTCAAAACTAGAGAAAAAAAAACTGGCCACTTTTTACCGAACACACCCACACAGGCATGCAAACACACCCCCAGAGGATCCACCAATCTCTACACTCAATTATTTTTCCGCCCACAGAGTGTTTTATTTAAGCTGAGGACGCTCACCTTTTTTGACACTGGAGTGATTCACCTCCCCCCACTGATTGACTATTAGACGTTTGTCCATACATATTTTTTGTTTTTCCGCTTCGCTAAAGTACCAACGATAATCTTTATATTTGTTTTTCCTTTGGTTGCGTTGTGCGTGACTGACAGCGTTTTACACGACCGGTAAGTTTATGATCTTTAAATGAAATATGAAGTTTACTTACAGACTAATGTATACCATATTGCTGTTTCTGGAAACAACGCACAGAATAAATACCATTTTTATACGGTGCATATTATAATGTATATAAACATGCGCACAATGCACTATTTAAAATATGTAATACTTGTAATTGGTTATCAGACTACGGTACAATATTTTAAATCTTTGCTCAGAAAAAGGTCTTATCATCGCATAGATTTTAAAATAATCTATTAAAAGATTTGTTTTAATTGAAACATATCAAGAAAGATATTGTGGTTATTACGTATAATTATGCTTGATAATTTATCCAGCAGAGTAGGGAAGCATAGACAAAGTAAGAATAATGGTTTATCGCTCATATGAACTTTACTTCAAGTGGTTGCAAAATCTCAGCTCGTAGGAGACTTTAACAGGCAATCTTTTCTAAACTCCCAATCTCCCATCACGGCTCACCGTTCCACATGTCATTAGTTGTATCCATTCGAATGCAAATGAACCTGCCCTGACCGGTTGAATGACTAAAGAGGGAGCACAAAAGAAGCTATCCTCGGCCAGAGTGGCGTGACGGACAACGAGTGGAGTTTTGAAAAAAGGAATATCCTAGAATATTGTTCATTTTGAGAACGCACCAGCAAAGGTGCCTGCTATATTGCAACTGCCCCCGAGGTAGGTGTTCGCGGTTTTTGTGCAAATTCTACATTCCAGTGTGCGGGTGGGTGGAGGGATTGGGAGGAGGACTTTATCTCTCCGTCGTGTTACCGGGTTGTCCTGTCGTTGCTGTCATCCGATGTATGTGTTGTGTACGTAGCCAACCGTGCTAATCGGAGGTGCGAGCAAAACAATAAGCTAAACACAAAAGCAGTTCTCAAAGAATAATGTTGAATGTATATTTAAAAGTTCATAGCTCCAGTGGCTTCCTAATACCGGAAGATTGTTAGCACCTCCGATTAGCACAATTATCTGCGTATGGTGCGACAGCAGTTCAACATACGTACGTACATGTCTGACGTTTTGCTACACTTGCTGTGGGAGCGTCTTTAGGAATTGAAGACAGCTGCTACGTGACGTACAAATTCGTATAAAATTGAGCCAGAAAGTGAGCTGATCCAAAACAGTTTTCGAACAAGCTGCGAGCACGTGCAGCGAAACTTCGGACATTGTGCCGAACTACACAGAGAACAACTCGAAAGTACAACGAACATCTAAACTTGCTTCCCCCCCCCCCCACCCCAATGGAATATAATGTAGGTGTAATGTGGGTGTAATGTAGGTGTAATGTGGGTGTAATGGTTTCAGGAAAGGGCGGTCCTGCACAGATGCCATATTTTCTGTCCGTCTGCTACAGCAGAGGTGTAGGGAATTCCAGCAAGACCTACATCTCTGCTTTATTGACCTGGTCAAGGCCTATTATACCATCAGTAGGCCTGGGCTCTGGGTTGTTCTTCGTGCTTTTGGAGTACCTGACCCTCTGCTCACGATCATTAAGGACCTTCATGATGGTGAGCGGGCCCGGGTAAAACTACGTGGCCGGGAGTCAGAGCCATTCCCTGTACACCTTGGGGTGCGACAGGGATGTCCTCTGGCTCCCACATTATTTAACATCTATTTTTACCACGTAATTCGTGAAGTCTTCAATAGCTGTACCGGGGGAATCTCCATATGGTACAGATATAATGGGAGGCTGATCGATGCCCGGGTGCGGTCAAGGGATGGCTTCCTATTGCTAAACCACGTTAGGTATGCCGATTATTTGGTAATACCTGCTCATTCAGAGGAGTTGGAGACGCTGCTGCTGGGACTGGAGCGTGCCACTAAGAGATGGGGCCTTACCATCAGCCCCACCAATATTAAGCACCTGCCTGGGTATTTTGTACCATCGGACACTCCACCCCCACAACTCCCAATCGGTGATGGGGCAGTTGTGGAGAGAGTGGAGAGGTTCCCATACTTGGGCAGTGTGCTTATGGCCGGCTCCAGTTTAACAGCAGAGGTCTCGCTCCGAATCAGTCGAGTGGCAATATCTTTTCATCGGTTGCGTAACGCTGTGTGGAAGCTACCTGGTCTGTCGCTCCGCACTAAGCTTCAGGTCTTCTCGGCCACGGTCATTCCCTCACTTCTGTACGCTTGCGAAATGTGGACCCCCCTTATGGAACATCTTCGCCGGTTAGAAACATTTAGGCTAGCCTGCCTACGATCCATCTTGGGTTTAACCAGGCTGGATTGAGCGAGGTGCTCACAAATTCTTGAAAGATCTGGGCAAGGTCCCATCGGTGAGCTCCTCTGGCAGGCAAGGCTGCGTTGTCTGGGTCATGTAGCCTGCATGCCCAGCCACCGCATGCCGAAACAGCTTTTGTTCGGCCGGATCGAGGGGGCTAAACGGGCGCGGCACGGGCTAGAGAAGAGTTGGAGTGATGTGGTACAGGAGGACGTGGAGCTGAGTGGACTTGCCGATGACTGGTACCAGTGATGTCAAGATCGGCCTCTGTGGAGGAGGCTCGTGAAGGACGATATTGGGGAGTTGGAGGAAGTCGCCCTCCAACAACAACGGAGGGCGGAGGAGCGACGCTCACAACAACGAGCGGAGCGCCGGGTGGCTAAAGCACAGCAGGTTGGCACAGTAGGGGGCACAGGTGGTGCACCAGCCAGTCATCTCAGTCAGTCGACCCGTGTCACCTGGGTCTGCCCCGTGACGTCCTGCCCGCGGGCGTTCGACACTTCACGTGGCCTCAGGGTGCACATGGCCTGGCACAAGCGTCGTGGTGACGTCACCTTCACTTAGTGGCAAATGGCGGTTGTTGTAATGTAGGTGTAATGTGGGTGTAATGTAGGGTGTAATGTAGGTGTAATGTAGTGTGTAATGTAGAGTGTAATGTAGGTGTAATGTAGGTGTAATGTAGGGTGTAATGTGGGTGTAATGTAGGGTGTAATGTAGGGTGTAATGTAGGTGTAATGTAGGGTGTAATGTAAGGAGTAATGTATGGTGTAATGTAGGTGTAATGTAGGGTGTAAGGTAGGGTGTAATGTAGGGTGTAATGTAGGGTGTAATATAGGTGTAATGTAGGTGTAATGTAGGGTGTAATGTAGGTGTAATGTAGGTGCAATGTAGGGTGTAAGGTAGGGTGTAATGTAGGGTGTAATGTAGGGTGTAATGTAGGTGTAATGTAGGTGTAATGTAGGGAGTAATGTAGGTGTAATGTAGGGTGTAAGGTAGGGTGTAATGTAGGGTGTAATGTAGGGTGTAATATAGGTAGAATGTAGGGTGTAATGTAGGTGTAATGTAGGTGTAATGTAGGGTGTAATGTAGGTGTAATGTAGGGTGTAATGTAGGGTGTAATGTAGGGTGTAATGTAGGGTGTAATATAGGTGGAATGTAGGGTGTAATGTAGGTGTAATGTAGATGTAATGTAGGTGCAATGTAGGGTGTAATGTAAGGTGTAATGTGGGTGTAATGTACGGTGTAATGTAGATGTAATGTAGGGTGTAATGTAGGTGTAACAAAAGCTGTTTCGGCATGCGGTGGCTGGGCATGCAGGCTACATGACCCAGACAACGCAGCCTTGCCTGCCGGAGGAGCTCACCGATGGGACCTTGCCCAGATCTTTCAAGAATTTGTGAGCACCTCACTCAATCCAGCCTGGTTAAACCCAAGATGGATCGTAGGCAGGCTAGCCTAAATGTTTCTAACCGGCGAAGATGTTCCATTAGGGGGGTCCACATTTCGCAAGCGTACAGAAGTGAGGGAATGACCGTGGCCGAGAAGACCTGAAGCTTGGTGCGGAGCGACAGACCAGGTAGCTACATTACACCTACATTATATGTAGGTGTAATGTAATGTAGGTGTAATGTAGGGTGTAATGTAGGGTGTAATGTAGGGTGTAATGTAAGGTGTAATGTAGGGTGTAATGTAGGGTGCAATGTAGGTGTAATGTAGGGTGTAATGTAGGGTGTAATGTAGGTGTAATGTAGGGTGTAATGTAGGTGTAATGTAGGGTGTTATGTAGGGTGTAATGTAGGGTGTAATGTAGGTGTAATGTAGGGTGTTATGTAGGGTGTAATGTAGGTGTAATGTGGGTGTAATGTAGGGTGTAATGTAGGGTGTAATGTAGGGTGTAATGTAGGTGTAATGTAGGGTGTAATGTAGGTGTAATGTAGGGTGTAATGTAGGGTGTAATGTAGGGTGTAATGTAGGTGTAATGTAGGGTGTAATGTAGCGTGTAAAGTAGGTGTAATGTAGGGTGTTATGTAGGGTGTAATGTAGGTGTAATGTAGGTATAATGTAGGGTGTAATGTAGGGTGTAATGTAGGGTGTAATGTAAGGTGTAATGTAGGGTGTAATGTAGGGTGCAATGTGGGTGTAATGTAGGTGTAATGTAGCGTGTAATATAGGTGTAATGTAGGGTGTTATGTAGGGTTTAATGTAGGTGTAATATAGGGTGTAATTTTAGGGTGTAATGTGGGTGTAATGTAGGGTGTAATGTAGGGTTTAATGTAGGTGTAATGTGGGTGTAATGTAGGGTGTAATGAAGGATGTAATGTAGGTGTAATGTAGGTGTAATGTAGGGTGTAATGTAGGGTGTAAAGTATGGTGGAATGTATGGTGTACTGTAGGTGTAAAGTATGGTGTAATGTAGGTGTAATGTAGGGTGTAATGTGCGTGTAATATGGGTGTAATGTAGGGGTAATGTAGCGTGTAATGTAGGTGTAATGTAGGGTGTAATGTCGGTATAATGTAGGGTGTTATGTAGGGTGTAATGTAGGTGTAATGTAGGGTGTAATCTAGTTAAAATGTAGGGTGTAATATGGGTGTAATTTAGGGTGTAATGTAGGAGGTAATGTAGGTGTAATGTAGGGTGTAATGTAGGTGCAATGTAGGGTATAATGTAGGTGTAATGTAGGGTGTAATGTAGGGTGTAATGTAGGGTGTAATGTAGGTGTAATGTAGGTGTAATGTAAGGTGTAATGTAGAGTGTAATGTAGG